TGTGACCATTGCGGATGCGCACGTCGCGATATCGATGCTGAAACGATATATCGTGCATCCCTAATACACGCACATATATTCAAGGTGTACGGAAAATGTTATTCATTTGGATTTGATAGTTACACCACATGACTTTTTCAGAAAATGGCAATAAACGTAAACCTTTTTTTTTTTTTATATTAATTAATTAATGTATAAATGTTTTCAAACCCATATATAATATAATCAACTTTTTATATGTTTTAAAATTTATTTGTTAACGATATTTCCTTTTTTTAACTTTGACAAAATTTGTCATCGACACATTTACTGGTTGTAAATTCTTTTTTTTCTGTGTAAGTGTTTCTAACCAGCTTCTCTCTTTGTCTTTCAGGTGTGTTAGGGTGTAGGTGTTGCTCAAAGCAGGATGTGTGCCTTCATTTCAGCCCCTCGCTCATTGTCACCGAAGACCTTTTCGGATCGGACCCCATCCCACTCCTTTTCTCAAATCTCCGCTACTCCAAACCAGAGCGCCAATCTCAGGCTTGAGCTCCACCTTGACCTGCAGTAGCCAGAGCCCCACTTTCCCACCCTTTACTCCAAACTCCTGAATCATGAATGGAAAATACCCATGAGGTCCTGGAGGGGGAATACTGAGGACTCTATGAACTGACCCAGGCGAGACCTCTGATCCTGAGGGACTCAAAGACTGACACAGAGAGAGACCAGCTGGAGAGGGAAAAAAAGAGACAGAAAGGGTGAAATTAAAATGACAAATGAAGCTGATCCACTGCAGCGATTTTTGAATCTTTCATAACACTTGTTTGAAAATTTGGTGGGGGAATACTGACTTTCTTTTTTTCCTTTATATTTTTGTCCTACCTTGTCTATTCTCCTTTTCTTCACAACATGGTATCTTCTCTTTCTATATTTTAGATGTTGTAAAGGCAACGCGTTTCATTTCGGATGATATAAAAATCCTGAAGACTGGGTTCAAAGAAGTATCCGTGGCTTTTTTGTGGAAATCAAATCATGAACACTCTTGGTGTATTTGTAAAACTACCATGTACAGTATGTATGCATGTAAATGTTTTTGTCCCATTGTGGCTACCGTACATACTACACACAGCAGCTAACTCTATTCCCTTTTCCCTCGAACCCGAAATCACGCAACAAACAAAAAATGAAGCTCATAGCTGTCAACCTATAAATGCAGAATGAGAGAGAATTCTATTTGTGATATTTTCAGAGACATTTGCTCCAATATGGTGTATTTAATTAATAAAAAATGAGATTAAAAACATCCCTTTTTTAATCCTATTTAAATCTTTCACTGCATTTCTGTGTCAAATATTCTTAATTTGTCTGGCAGCTGAAGTGAAAGTCCTCATGTGAAAAGTTTGTTTTTATGTTCAGTGAAGTATGCGGACTATGTTTTAAGTGCCATGTATTTACATTGGGTTAGTCCTAAATCTCTCACAGGTGTTCCCCTCTGAAATCACTCAATATGAATTATGTACAGTATCTGAAAGAACACTCTCAACATCCAATTTTCCATCAGGAGACTAAAGCATTTGTATGATCTCAGTAATTCATCTTGTCGAGTTTCTCTTGAGAACAGAGCTCATTAGCAAAACTGCTTTTTTTAATGAACCTCCCTAAATGCAGTGCCATTTCTCTGTCCCTTAATTGTGTCAGTCCATGTTCTTATGCCGTAATTATGAATGCAGATGATGGGGTGGCTAATTGAACATGGATAAACATGTATACTTTCTTCTCTTTTCATATGAACATGCTATTCATTCCACGGTCCTTGTAGCGGACGAGAACAGGGGGTGGAAATGCCCCTTTGAAGATTCAATTACCGCAGGGGGAGAGAAAGGTGTTGCAGCTTTTTGGGCCTGCACTGAATGGGCTATTTGCAGAACAAATCGGCGTTTGAAGCTGTTGCTCGACTTAATGGGTATGAAGAGGGCCTGATTTGCATTCTCAGAATGCTCTGCTATAATCCGCACTCAGTTGTGAGACAGGTGGACAGGGAGCATGGTGACAATCTTTTATCATATCCATAATGTTTTATAGCATTTTATTACAGCCTGTGGTAGGGTCTAAACCTACATCTTTATTAGATTTTATTTAGCTCATACACTCTTAAAAAAAAAATATATATATATATATATATTTTTGTTAGTCGATCTAAAACAGTGATTGTGCTTTAACAGCTGTCAACAATGTCGGTACTCAAATGAGCAGTCTGAACATATTTGCACAGCGCATTTTTTATTTTGGTCGCGCATGCGCACCTGCGTACCACTTATGTGCACCCCTGCATATAAGCAAGATAATTATAGGAATTATTAGAGTTGGGTTGAAAATGTAAATAAATTATAATTTAAATCAGTCTTCATTTTAATGAATTAATATAGTTAATGTCTATCCCAAGATCAGTATTTTAGTCTCTTCTGTTTTCAGTTAATGCTTAAATAAAACATCACTTAACAGCATTTGTAGTGTGCCTGCCATCCAATAATTTCCATAAGCTTTGTGATTTGTTACTTCTGATAAGAAATAAAGTCTTAGTTTTCAGATTCTGTCAGAATTTTACGACGCAGTTAAAAAAAAAAAGAATGTCATTTTTGCCACTCCGTAATATGTGACCCTGGACCAGAAAACCAGTCTTAAGTCGCTGGGGTATATTTGTAGCAATAACCAAAAATACATTGTATGGGTCAAAATTATTGATTTTTCTTTTATGCCAAAAATCATTAGGATTATTAAGTAAAGATCATGTTCCATGAAGATATTTTGTAAATTTCCTACTGTAAATATATTAAAACTTAATTTTGATTAATAATATGCGTTGCTAAGAACAACTTTAAAGGCGATTTTCTCAATATTTTGATTTTTTGCACCCTCAGATTCCATATTTTCAAATAGTTGTATCTCGGCCATATATTGTCCTATTCTAACAAACCATACATCAACGGAAAGCTTATTTATTCAGCTTTCAGATTATGTATAAATCTCAATTTCGAAAAATTGACCCTTATGTGGTCCAGGGTCACATTTTTTTAATCTAAAGAGCCATTTGTGATATGAAAGGTTCTTCGTGAAACCATAGATGCCAATAACCTTTATTTTCAAGAGTGCAGTTGAGGAGATCTTGCTACAAAAATGTTTTTTTTTTTATCCGTATACTTACTGACCTGAAATTTAAAAAAAAAGTGCATATTCTGGCGAAATTTTCAACTCTGTGTTCATATACGTTCATGCTGAGAGACTTCCTCTGAATTTTCTTGCTAAATTTCAATTAAACATCTCAATGCATCATGTACAGTTATTATCTGGAAATACACTTTGAATGCCTTTCTTAAAGCAACATGAAAAGTGCATCAGGAATTCAAATTAGCCAGTCCTAAATACACAGCCATCTCCTAAGTGCTTTAACAGAGTTTGCCTCAGCTGTAAAACTCAAGGAATGTCTTTTGGTCTCTATTGTAGAGAGAATCAAACTAAAGTACATTTAAATAAATCTCAACAAAGGGATTCCAGAGGAAAACCGTAGAGCTCCAAAGGCCTTTTTCTTTGTGAGTTGAAAAGACATGGTCCTGTTGTGAAAGCGAAACAGTTGTCTGCTGATCGGTACAAACGCTCATCTAACCTTCAAGTTTAAAAGTGTCCTCTTAGTTATTTTTACCATGTGGTGCCGGTATAATGTGTAACGGATACAGGATCTCCAAAACGCTTTTATGAGCAACAGGAGATTGTAGTCCAACAACAGCTGGTGTTGGACAACAGCTCTCCTAATATCAGCAGCTATAGTAACAGTTAAGATAATAATTACATTGGTCTTGATGATTATAACGTATTGTCATTATTTTCAAGTTATATTTAGACACGTCAGTGTGCATAGTGTGCATTACATCACTTAGATACTTGAAAGCAGCTAGCTTGTTTCAGTGGAACAAAGGTCAGACTCACATCTGTTCAAGTAATTTAGTGTCTTAACTGCAAACACGAGGCCCATGTATGTGACAATTATCTGCTAATGTTAAAGCAATTACCGGAGTAAATTGATCCTAATAAATGGAAATTAATTCAAGATTTCTCCAGGATTCATATTTTTCTAATTAAAATATTTTCATGGGAAAGGGCTTTGTTTTGAAATATCGTGTGTGTGTGTGTGTGTGTGTGTTAAACTAAAATAAAAAATTATATGAATACACACACATATATATATATATATATATATATATACATACATCTAAACTATTTAGTATAATAGTATAAGATAGTATAGTTTATTTTATTTTAGCACTGCCTTTATTGCTGTACTTATTTATTGCTCTATTGCTGTACTTACAATGTGGTATGAATGAGGAATGTTAACATGAAACATTAATGTTTTCCACTCCCAGAGCAAAACTCAATGAATGGTAGATAGTGAGTGACATATTTCAAAAACGTCATTTTTTACACTCATGATCCATATGTCAGATGTGGCTTTGATGTGGGGCAGAAGAAGGCGAGTTAATGGAGCTAAGCCACCACAATGGAGCCACACAAATGGCTTTACTGCTCAGGGAGAAACAGGTCATAGAAAGCTTCCCTTTGATTCAAAATGTTTCTTATGTAGAACATAAGGCACTAAAGAGATTAATAAGCGCACACAGTCAAATTATTGCTCAGGAGAGGATTGTTTCAAATATGTAGATGTTTGAAGAACAGTATAGTTGATTATAAATGGAGACAATAAAATTAATTATTTTAAGATTTATGAAGGAGAGAGAGAGAGAGTGATAGGAAGAGAATCTCTTCCTAGTCAACACGTGAGATCATGCGATGATCACAGCACACACATTGTGACCACACCATGAGAATCGTGTGAGCTCATGGTGACATCATTGTGAGATCAAATTGTTGACTGGGTTAGCAGCGAATGCATAGGCTTTGGCATGTTTGGGCCTGTAATGCTGTGATATTTGAACAGGTCACAGCTTGCTGGTTGAAGACAGGGTGCATACAAAATAAAAGAGAAAGGATTAAGAACAGGAAATAAAAAAAATTGCAGCAGGCCTTTCCTCTGATGGGTGCTGAGAGTGTGATATATTGTTCTGTGAATAGAGGTGTGCAGTAGTTTGGAAATGGAGTGTCTGTGTAGTGAATTGTTTCTGTTCCTGCTTCATCAAATCTAAAATATTTTTAGAGAAGACTGTTGACTCATTTTGCAAAAATTTCCAAAAAGAGAAAATATATTTTAATCAGTCAGATTGCATACATATTACATAAACATCAGTCAGAGCACATACACTTAAATATATTTTATATTTTAATTTACTTAAGATATTTCACACAACAATTGTCACAATTATATTTAAAATAGAAGTTTAGTTAAATAATTTGTGACATGATAAATTTCTGTTGATATCAGTGTAGCATTATTAAAACTGATTAGGGAGCCATTTGTAGTTCCCAGCATGCTTTGTAAATGCTAGTGGTGTGACTCTCTTCTTCCTCAAGCTTCCTATCTGCCCAATTCATTATATATATATATAT